CTCCTCTAGCTCACTGATGTTAGAGACATAGCCTCATGAATATAGAAAATCGGCTCTAAGGGATAAAACTTGCGATGTTTAGCTAAGAAATATGTGTATTTTCTAGGCCAAAATGTGTCAACTGATCCGAAAGGTCTCCTGTGCTACTCAGGTAAATCCGGCTCATGCGGCCTTGATATAAGCTTCAGAAACACTTGGTGGCTTAATAAATACTAAACTCTATATTCCTGGTTGTTTAGGTAGCTCAGGATCCACTGAAAATGGTATGCTGAGGTCTTCTAACCGTGGGATAATTATAAGCTCTCTTGCATTCCCATGTAGACATAATAATCCTTACTGGATTTCTAGCGTTTTCGTGCAAGATTAACGCTTATTTGCGTATATTTGCCATGTATGCCTGCAAAGTGTAATTTTCGGCCACCTACGCAGTCCCTAGTTGTCGCAGGTTATTACGGACTAATTATAACATTGCTGGATAGCTATTCCTATTTAGAACATATACCGCCTCGCTACTTTTTACATTTTCTTTTCTTTTCTCTGTTATCTGCTTGCAAAGCAGAAAGCCATTTTTAGCGAAAAATGATAATGACCTTATTCGTAGACCAACATTTAATATCAAATAACTCGCAAACTACTCTACGCATTGTATCTTTTACTTTCAGCGTATTAAGCGGTTAAACGTTGTCCAGATCGGTATATTTTTGTGCAACTTTACGCAGTATTCTAGCCTTAGAAATGGTTTTTATTTATCTTGCGATTTACTGTAACGGTTCCGTCAGAGCAGGTTTGAAATGCCGAGAGACGATCGGGCTGAAATGGAGCCCACAGTAAACACACACGACAGTAACTCGACTAGTCTATGAATGCGTTAACACATGCAATCGGAGCTGCGACGTAGTCGCAGCACCGTTACCCCACAAAACCTAGTGCGCAATAAATAGTTTTGTTTCATTTTATAGCATGATTCCCGGCTAGCATTGTGGCTTTGCAGTTTTATTCAATTCTGTGCAAATGTGATATTGTTTTGTTTAAATGTGTCAGAAGCCAGATACGCACCGTTACCCCGCAAAACCTAGTGCACAATAAATAGTTTATGGTCATTTTAAGGCATTATTCACGGCTATCTTTCTGCCTTTGCAGTTTTAGTTAAGTCTGTGCAAATGTGATACTGCAATTGTTTGAATGTGTCGGAAACTAGATACGCGGTAGAAACAGTATTTTCGAATCCGTACGCCATGCAGTCTGATTCCTGGGGAATTTTCCTTTGGCGCTCTTTTGATAGTTTTGACGAGTTTAATAGTTTGTTTACAGACTTTATGCTTCTTCATTACGTCAATTTCGTATGCTACAGCAGCAGAAAGTGTAACCTGTCACGGGTGAAGTACGACAGGGTCATTTATTGATGTGTCCGCTGCGCACGTCGGAAGTCAAAAAGTACAGGAGTGAGACGTGTTTAGTAGGATTACGCTTCTATTAATATAAATCTTTCAGCTCACTTAATACCAACTGCCAAGCTCGCGTTGACCTCATTAGAACGGAACGCAAGCTAAAAGTCATAACGTTCGATCTTTCTCACAATCACCCAGTTAATCGCCTTCTTTTTGAGCGACACCCCATCAGTCGCCGTCTGACGGACGATGAGTTCACTCAGTCCGTGGACCTTTTCCGCTACAACACTCCAACTGGTACTGGTGATCTATTTCCTTACCTTTCATCGATAGGTTGTCGAAAGTGAGCCGTGTAATTCCCCTGAAACAGAGGTATTGTGCAGAATAGAGTGCCAAAGTAAGCTATTCGGTGCAAGTTAATCTCCCATTTTCACTTTATTGTAGCGTTGACATAGATGCCAGCCCAGTAAAGAAAACGCAAAGAAGGAAAAAGCTTGTTCAGATAAAAACTCATTTAATTACCCGACAGTAGGCTATATGTTCGCACTACCATTATATTTTAACCGATGAATACGACTTTGTGTAATGAAAACCCTGGTTGGGACATGCGCTTCCAAGGCACGAATATAGTGAACAACGCTGAACCTTCTCTGACTGCCTTTTGTTAAATACAATGCACAGTACTTATATCGGTTTCTGCGCTCATTTGGGATTACAGCATTTTAAACAATGAACTTGACTAGCGGCACGTTTTCTGCCAGTGTAATAGGACCCAGGTGGGCTGAATGGCACACCGTTCCAAGTCTCGTGGTCGTTGTATATAGGCTCCATCAGTGGCACATTTGGTGCCTATGTAATAGGACCCAGGTGGGTGGAATACCCCACCGTTCCAAGTCTCGTGGTCGTTGTATATAGACTCCATCGGTGGCAAATTTTGTGCCGATGTGCTAGGACCCAAGTGCGTTGTAATATCATCTGACTCCGAGGGTTGTGCTTGTAGTATACAGGCTCAGAAAGTAGCGCACTCATGATAATGCTGTGCTGGCATCAGATAATGCATGCCGTTGGCTGAAAGTCATCCTAATTAAGTTTCTTTTGGACGAGAATTGGTAATTCAAAATCAATTTTAGGGTTGGGGTTTGCGGCTACTGCATTGCGTAATTATCATTAATATGTGTCTTTCCGCTTCATGTTTACGATATTTTTACCATGAAGCTTTCGTTGCTTAAGTTCGAGGGGCGTTGAAAGATATACTGGGTGACCAAAAGGTTGTCCATAAGGGGTACATTTGTACTGCTGAGGGCCAAAAGTCTGGCCATTTAGGGAGCTACAACACTCACACGACGGCACACGCTTTCGCTGTTCGCGCTGAAGGGATGCATGTTCCGTCAACGTTACGCGGTAATCGATTACAGATTGGTAAGTACGTATTAACACAGTGACGAATGATTCGTCACTCATGGCGCGCTAAAAGTCACTTGCGCTGACAGAAAGTACGGTAAAAAAGAAGGACGTAACGCACTAAACAGCGCCGATAATTATTTAGTATATCAGTTAAACATATCCATGGACATATAAAGACATTTACCTTCATCTCCTTTTGCTTCTCGACGAGTGGCCAAAAGCAAGCTTCAGTGGGAGGGCTCGCTGTACATATGTTTGGATAAAATGATAATACATAGGTACAATAAGGTTGCATAAGATTCCTATGATCTTACAAAACCTTCGCTGTTAAAGAAGCCACTTAATTATGTCTGCTATAATGTATCCACTGCTATAAAACTCATAATCCCCAAGTGTTACTTATTTCATTACATTAATAATGCGTTTCACATTAAAATTCCGAGGCTAAAAATATCGGCACAATAGGAGACTAATTAAATAGTCCAGGACGAAACTAAAAGTGGACGGCAGGAATTTTTAATAAATGGGCTCAGAAACGGTATGCTTATATTTTATACCTTGTAGTGAATAATTTCTACTTTAGTTACCAATATTGCATTAGTGTTACGCATATAAAGGCAAATATAGCTGCATGCATTACTCACTTCGAAGCTTCCCCATCGATACGTAGACGCATAGTAACGCCAATTGGATATTAGCCATTTTGCAAAAGCGTGCCCGGCTGCTTGAGTGGACAACAGTTTGCATTCATTTCAAAACCGTTTTGCAGCACATCTCGTCTGCGTTCTGTTTTGCGTTTAACAACATTTAGACAGGACGCCGAGAAGACGCATTGAAGATAACCCACGGACTATTAACGGACGGTCGTACCAACAAGCTTGTTACAAAACAAGGCTTTTACGCTATACGTTGCAGAAATCCAATGTTTTTAACGGACTTCCAAGACTGCGAATTAGTTAAATACAGCATCCATGAATACAGGCGACCTAATTTGGACTTTTAGCATTATAATGCACTTACTGTGCAATATTGGACATAAGGTATGTGGAAATGTTTTTGTCTAATTACTTTACCAAATTTGCAGCATTTGGTTAACCGAATTGCCAAGCCTTCGAATCGGCGGCAAACGGTTGATAGCTATTTAGCACACTAAAACACAGATTTAAGGTTACACCAGATTAGAATGTCAGAGACTAAAGGTCAATTGTTTCACTCCAGTCTGACCAATCAACCAACGTCACCATCTTTATAGTACCCTGCTAGGTCTGCGACTACCGGGCAGCGCTTTTGGATGAGGAAGGAGCGTCACGATATCCAGCGAACGCAGCACGAAGAGATGCAACCAATCGGGCAGTCACCGACCACGGAAGGAAGAACACGACGGGAAGCAGCAGCGTGTGTCTTCGTCCCAAAAACGAAGGTACAATCAAAACAAAACGCAAGTCGTCCAAAAATGGTATAGAAGGTCCGTAGGTGCGTCAAATGGGAAATATGTTCATAACGATTCATTCGTTGTTCAACGTGTTCGAGTCTGAAAAAGGAAAGAAGAAAGAGAGTTAATAGTGGCGGTTCGTTCAAAGTCCCATTACAGTTTCGGTTTCGTTACATTACTCAGGTTGAAATTTTGCGCCAGAAAGCAATATCAGCGCAAGAAAAGCTTCGCTGTAATTTTTTGTTAATTTGTAATTTTCTAGTGACGCACGCCGCCTTAGTATGTCTCTTAACAAATCCATTTTATTTTTAGCCGCATTTATCGTAATTAGCTTTTGACTTTCGTATCCTATATAATCCTGCCGCTCTCATTTCTTCCATGTGCGCACCAACAATTGTGACGACTGAGCGGGCCAACAAATGTCCAATGAATTTAAAGTGAACTTGTGGTGAATTGGATCTTGTTCCAAAGAAAAAATGCACAACTACACCTCTGCGCAGCTTTCGCAACAAAAGAACAAGGAGCTCAATATCGCCAGAAGGAAACAGAAAAATTTCAAGGTGGGCGCCTACGAGCCAGCAGCTGTACACCAAACAATGCTAATGCATTTGTAATTGTCAACGAGGAACATATACTTGTATTTTGCCCATTCCATGCAAGAGCATCGGATTAATGTAAAGATTGATCTAAACCCTTAAGAGTGCAGCCTCTAGCCGGTCTAGAAATATACCTATTTATTTATTTATTTTTTTGGCCGCTCTACCCACGTTGTCGAGATGGGTGACGTTATTCTACAGATACGTGGATTCATGTCCAATCGTTTACTTTTTCGGAAGCAAATGGTAGTAGATATCATACACCCTGGTCGTTGTGTGTTATCCTTAAAAGAAATCCGGGAACGCCTAGCTAAAATTCACAAAACATCCCCGGATGTTGTATTCGCCTTTGGCTTCCGAACGCATTTTGGTGGTGGAAAGTCCACTGGGTTTGCACTCATCTATGATTCCATGGATCATGCCAAAAAATTCGAACCTAAGTATCGTCTTGCCAGGAATGGTCTTATTCAAGCACCAACGAAAGGTCGAAAACTGAGAAAGGAGCGGAAGAATAAAGCAAAGAAACAAAGGGGCACCCATCCTAGGAAGCGAAAGACTGAGACTTAAGTTGCAGAGCGTTTCCCAAATAAAATTGCACACGTCGAAAAAGCCGAACAACCTCCTTGTGGTGCCAGCTGGGTGATTCGGGTTTACCCCCTTTCAGCAAATAGTCCGGCGGCAGTGTTCCAGGACGTGGTGGATTTTCGCCTGGCAAGCGTTCTCCCTATAAAAAGCCACACATGTCCGTTTAACAACACTGTGACGTGGCGGTTGTGACTCGCCGCTAACTAAAGTCACCCATTGCTTATCCGAACAATCGCTTCAAGTCCACAGATAGCAAGCACTGGCGACACCTTCAAACACATTCAAGCAAAATGACAGGAAACATTTACCAATCCCATAAACAAAGCTAAACACGCCTACATGCAAACTTACATACATTCGTATATAAACATATGCAACAATCCCATTGTTCCATTGTACACTAACTGATCACATTTTGTACTCTTAACATGATCATGCCTGCGCAGGCGTGCCTCGCTTAGTCGAAAATACACAATTTATTTATTTACAATGTTCCTGTGTTAACGAAACTGTTGCGCTGTTTTCAATTGGAAACGTTTACTTCTCCGAAGCGCATTGGTTTTCTCCGCGGCTTACTGGCATGCATGCTTAATGGATTTTCCCGGTGGATATCCTTACCATTCCAATACGGTTGTGTACATTACAAAGGGACTGAGTATCGCTGGATACGGTAAGTTTATTCCGATCAACTACATCAACGTATACCAGTCACTCGAAAAGAGCTTGTTGCAAGACGCATTTCTCCGTTGTTTTCAAAAAGTACTATGCCGTAGGAAAGGGTTGAACGGACCACACTGATCCATTTTACATTGGTAATCCATTGATTGTACGCGCTTTTGTCGGCTAAGATTAAAACAAGAAGCCCCATTTCTGAACTTTTGGAAATTATCACAAAAAGCCGTGTTTCAAAATGTTTTTTTCCATCCACATAGAGAGTGTGTGATTGGGTTGGACCGGTGTACTTTTAGTAATAGCCATTGAAATAGATTTGTCGGTGAAGTAAGGGACGTGGCCTTAATTTTCCAACGGCACGGGCTGTACCTGTGTTGTCCGACGGGATCCATGTTCGATGAGTACTGTTGACTTTTCGACTGTTCGTCCTATTGTGAAAGCATACAGCGTGATGCGACTTTGCTCCGCAGCACATACTTACCTTACAGTTGTTATATCCTATGTGTTAATTATGTGTTAAATTATCGCTACTCTAAGCAGCCTCACTGGGAAAACCACGCTGGATAAGGCACATAGCGCAAGGCAGTTGCGCACAGTTTTGGATAAACAAAAAATGTCTTACCCCTGGTTGTGCGGGGCAAGCCTGCGAAAGCATGACCATTCTGATACCAACAGTTAGGAGCGGTAGTGTTATAAAATTAAGTTATTTATTCTCACCAAAACGAGGAAGGCGTTTTGGGCATGATCATATGTTAAACCGTAACATACTGGATTTTTGTGTTTGTACGTATGTAGGGGTATGTGTAACTTGGCAAGGTGAGCGAACTTTTGAATTGTGACTGGATTAATGAGTTTGTTTGCTGTGTTCGCCATCTTATGTAGTGAGCAAAAGAACGACTAGATCTGGATGACCTTCGTGAAGTCGGGATCATCCGGAAGGGGAAGGCAGGGACTATTTAATGACGAGTCACACCTGTCACGTCTTGATGTTGTTAAGCGGACCTTCGTTGCTATTTATAGGGATAACGCCTGCCAGGCGAAGACCCAACACGTCCTGGTACACTGCCGACTAGGTATTCGCTGGACTGGATAACCTGAAGCACCTAGCTGGCACCACCAGGAGCTTGTTTGGCTCCCCAGCCAAGTAGTATATTCTAGATTGTACGAGGTACTCCAGTGATGGCGTGATCAAATATGTATACACCCATAGCTGCTTTCTAATTGTAGAACATTTCGTTTAAAAATAGAGCAACAAAGCTTCTTTTTAGTTTAAACTTTTGAGCATTTCGTTTGGTAATAATGGGATATAGGAACAGGATGAAGCTGTTGCCTGGAAAAATCATGGTTACAACGGTCGGGAGCACAGACAATGCTCAGCGCGATTTCGTCATGGTGTTATCCGGTTTAGCATCAGCAAGGGAGCCAAACTAACAGTTCGGTTCAATGACTTTCCATTAAGAGTCTGGAATGTTAGGGGCTCCGTCAAGATTTTCCAAATCAAAATCGGCTAGATTTACCAGTTCCTGAATTGGTGGCAAGAACTGTATTCAGAAGTCCAATGACTGAGTCAGTGTGTAGTGGTAGGCCGGGACTTTATGCAGTAGCGTTTCACATTCCCCACGTCCGAGTTTTCTTAACCGTTTATTTAAGAATTAATTTCAGCGAGCGCTTGCCAGGCCAACGCCTACCACGCCCCGAAACACTACCGTCGATCTACTTGAACAGTAACTTGAAGCTCGTAATGCATCGCACAAACCGATTTTTCACCCTTATTTGCAGTCGAATGGGGTCCAGGTTTCTCCGTTGGTTGAGAGAATGGCTTAGTCAGGATCCGCCTGTATTGGCGGAGGACGGTCGAAGATGAATGAAATAGCCGCTGATCTGGTTGGAAAATTATGGCTGAATAAAATTTTCGTGGTCATGGAGGTTGGCTCCTTTTATCGGGGTATACTTGACTGGTTTGTGCAGATTTCGTGTCCTGCTAAACCCACTAAGCTTGTCATGGAGGCAGTGAGCTCAAATAATATTTATGACTGCATTCCTCCATCTCCGGCGAAAATGTTAATCCTTAGTCCAATGCTGGATCCTTACGAACAATGAATATAATTTCAAAAGCGTTGAGACCGAACAACGGCTACGTAAAAAATTACATTTTCTGCAGCCTAAGATCTGCATTCCTTTAATGGTAAGGTATCTTGAGGAGTGACTATCTCCATGGTTCACTGACATCTCTAGGGAAGTTCATCGGAACAGCTGCAGGTAAATGAAATATCAACATGTTCTTGAAAATATTTGGAAGGAAACAAAGCCAATCGTTTGAAGGCCAGTGAGGAGTTTCAAATCTGTTCTAGACAGTGTAATTTAAACACGACAGGAAAAGCTGGAAACTATGGTACAATAAAGAATCCATGGAAATAAATAAATAAATATTTTATTCTCGACAAAGCGAGGCACGCCTTTTGGGCATGATCGGCATATGGCAACATTGTACATGATAGCATGGTTAGCAGCACCAAGCACGGGAGTAGTATAGTTGGAGTCCGAGGTGAGGGCCAATATGGCCCGAAGGTTGTGCGAAGCCTATGTCCACGGCGTGCGAGATGTAGAGATAAGAATCAAATCATCAATGTGGAATATGTTGAGGAAGAGCTAGTCCGATGTGGTTGTGTACAAAGTGCAGGTCAGGTGAAAGAAGTATAAGGGAAAAGCGGCAAAAATAGTTAAGAATAGTGGCATGTAACTGACCAAATAGGTATGTGTGTTCGTGCGAGAACAGGCATATGCACGGAAATTGTAAATGTGGCATCGGTCTACTTACCCATGGGTGATAGTGGCGGTGGCTTTAGTGCGTGACGGTGACTTTATTGAGTAAATAATGGTATTGTGATTACGAAGTATGCTAAGCCTATTCCTTTACATCCCGTAAAGGTGGTATTGCTCTAGAATAGTGGTGAGAAACTCCATCTGGAACGATGAGAGGATCCCTTAGTAAGATGATTTTATCTTCATGAACAGAGAAAGGAAACAAGTCTTCAAGCCGGCTGGCTGTGAAGAATGTATCAGTCGGTACCGGAGAATGAACCGTATTGCACCAGTCCCGACAGCTGGGAAAATTTCGGTAAAACGCCAAACGTTTAAGAGAGAGCCAAAGAAACAGAAGATCTGGAAGGCAGCAACAAGCACAATCGAACAATTGCTGGAATGCGGAGTTGCTTAGTTATATGGTAGGCTGCAGCCTATGTACTTTTGTGCCGTTACATGCTTTACAGGTGTGTTTTCGTGTCAAGTCTCCGAGTGATTCAGACTGCACCTACGGCATAGGAATAAGTTTGTGCAACGCGCAGTTTCAAAAGACCAATATCACAAAGCGTGTATACAAGATGTTGTGTCGGAGCCCCACAGCTGCTTCCACGCACTAACGGCAGGGAAAGCACTAACGACCGGGCAACCGACAATGCTCACGCAGAACGTCAAACCTGCCACCAAGCGTCTGTTCAACGCAATCAAAGCTTTCAAAGCAGCGCATATACACAGGCCATGCGAAGAGGCTGGCAATCGATCGGTCAAACCTGGTCAGCACAAAAAGCATTGGATTGATAATTTGCCTCATGAAGGAACGAACTACACAATGTAAACGAAAAGCTAACACGCGTAAGACAAGATTTAGTTAATATTACGGTTATCGCTCTAGGCTATACATTCCAACCACTCTGTTTCCTTTAACTGAGACCTATCATTGACACGCTAGCTGGCTTTTCATATAGCCCCCGTCGTCCCTTCTTTTTCTTTTCTTAGGGCCCTCAGTACTGTTATTCACACCTTAAGTTTACGGCCTACCTTCATCTTTCTGGCCTATCCGGACTCGTCTGAACGATTTCCTACTTTCTGACCCACCTCAGACTTCTGAGATCTTAACGACCTAGGCTCTACCGGCGTACCGTCATTTAACACGCACCTCAACTGCATTGTCGGCTATGATTCATCCTTATTATTTTATCCTCTTTTTCTGTACATTTCTATTCTGCTGAGGCTCTATTTTAGTACTTAGACTTAAGTAATGCGGCTTTTACTTTATACTCCGACATTCTATTTCCGGCTCAATGAGCGCCTTCCTTCCGACTACTGTGACCCTTATGACTAGGGTTCAGCGGACCCAACGGTCTATTCACATCACCGCAAATATATCGTTGGCTTTTCCACCTCGCAGCAATAGAGCGAATTCCTTCCCTCCCCCATTCTTCCCTTTTCGCGCTCTCTATTTGCATTCCTTTTTACTTGAACGGACAACTCTTCCGGCCAGGATCTAATCT